ACGGGTTCAATAAATGTACCATATGTCATTCCTCCATATAGATTCTGTATTTATGATACATTTTTTTATGTATGAACAAAATTAACCTTGATTTTCACCAACAAAATTCTGGTTTACCTCCACATTATAATGGCCTTTTTCATCTCTGGTGAGAGCCCCTTACTAAGTGCGAGGAGTGCCCCATTTTCACCTCTGGTATACTTTGGATACGTGCACCTTTTTCATTTCCCCAGAGGTTGTGCCCCTAATTTAAAGCGATTAAAAGCAACTTTTTCTGTAATCTAACCCAAAGCCGGCTCGCTCGTATTTGAAATTAAAATTAAATTAAAGATCTTTTCAGTCTGTCATAATAAGACTGTGCTTAAAATGCCCCATCAGTATTTTTTTCTTCCTCTTTATAACATGTAGTTTTTTTCACACTCGCAAATAAATGTTCATATCATCACACCGAACTGCAAAGTACATGTATGATGCCTAATCAGTGTCTAGGATGATGTAAAGAGAGAAACAAACATTGAGACCATCTCTGAAAATGAATCACAATGAAGGGTTAATTTCCCCTGGACCCCACGCCAATTTACGCTCGATACGCTCTATACCTGATCGTAAATACACAAAAAGAAATATATTTCTTGAATTATCGTATTATACAAAAAATACCATTGAAAGATCCCACTTGCAACAATAAAACCCGTCACAATACAGCTCATTGTCAATTATGATGATATCGAACCACGCGTGCGATCATGCGAGGTATATACATTTCTTATATGTACACAACTTGATCCCGCTATACGTTGAACTGGAATCATTGACGCTGTGTGTTATTACTTCCTCGTATGCCATATATGTCGGCCTGTTTGGAACGGGGAATCGAAATTTGAGAACTAGCTACTGTCTCAACTCGAGCAAGCTTTATCGGATTTGGCAAATTACAGTAGGTGATTTCAATGGAATATTTATTCAAAATATCCGCATTTAAAGTCTCGCCATTATCGCAGTTTACACCAATTTCAGCACACGTATATGCATGCACCGCTGAACTATGAAGTAGGGATTCTACTACACGGACTGCTTATATGGACTTTATCGGTAGACTTGTAAACCAGCAGTTTACCATTAATTATTCCTCAATTACTATGCATCGAAACGTCGTGCACTCAAGGCAGTGAATGACGCCATTGATCTGCACTTAAATGCCTATATAGGTTATACACATGACGTGAGTATAGTTTATACATTCTCTTATTTTGGTGAGTAAAGTATACTATAATGATAATAACAATAATGATAATAATAATAACAATAACGATTATATTACTGATAATGCTAATAATTAGAAAAGAATCCTGATAATTATTAGAACACTAATAACAAGATTATAAATAATAATAATTGCAATAATAACAACATTATCAACAACAACAACTACAATAAAAATATTGATATTAATTACGATACTGCTGCTGCTACTACTTTATTAGCAAGAGGAAGAAGAAGAAGAAGAAGAAGAAGCAGACGAAGAAGAATTAAGAAGAAGAAGAAAAAGAAGAAGAAGAAGATGAAGAAGAAGAGGGGGGGGGGGAAGACAACATGTAATTTCAGCAATATTAGTGGTTATTTGCTCTATGATCGAGGGATACACATGCACAATACTTACTTCGTGGTAATTAGATGGAAGGAAGAGAAGGAAAAGGAAGGCATGTGATTTTCATGTAACGCTACGTAAGAATACTTATCACAGTATAGTATTAATGACTGCTTTGAGAGAAATAGTTGTTTTTATACGCTCAAGGGAAGGTTAGAATTGTGCTATTACCCGAGGCGTGCCGAGGGCAATAGCCTAATTGTAACCTTCCCGAGAGCGTATAAAAACAACTATTTCTCGAATATTAAAGCAGTCATTAATACTTTTATATGCCAAAAAAAAAAAGACTAAAAAATAACAATAAAAAAAAAAAAACTTTTGTCGGAGATGGGATTCGAACTCTTGCGTACAAAATGTGATGTAACTAAAATCACCGCCTTAAACCTCTCGGCTATCGCGCTCTGTTTCCTCACGTGGCAGTTTTCTCTAATATATACATTAAAATGGATTGACAACGGCTTCGGTGGTGGATGCTTCGCTTCTGCTCCATTAAACGGGCCCTTCTTTTACTTTTGCAATGCATATTGGCACGAACTTAGATCAAGATCTATCGGCAGATGTTGTTTTTTTGTTTTTGGAAGTTTATTTTCGTCTTCATGTCAACAATGCAAGATAAAATTGTCGGTAAGATCGATCGAGATTCAATTGTATTGAAATTACCGACCAATTCTTCGCACACGTACGGTATCCTCGATCGCTCAGACCATTTTTTAACATGTAAACCTATGGGGTAACCATGGAGACTGAACTATTTTCCCGGTAACCATGGTTATTGGGATTTTTGAACTGTTTTAACCATGGTTACTGGGAATTTTCGGGAACAGTTAAAGTTTATGAATGCAATTTCGACCAATCAGATTGCTGGATTACTTAAGTGAGGTATATAATGTCGTTTATTGCCATACAAATATTCAAATAGCATTGTAGAGACAATGAACAAATAAAAATAATTATTAACCAACGTCGTTAACCGTGTAGCAGGGACCTTTCGATTTGCATGTCGACAAAGCGGACTGCTATACGTATGACGTCCCGAACAATAGAATAAAACGAGAGGAATCAGCTGAACATTAACCCTAAAAAGGCCGGGCTATTTGAGTTCTTAATACACGGGGGGGGGGGGGGGGGGGGCATTATGGCCCCCTAATATCTCGGCCGCGAAAATTTGCATGAATGTCAAGTGAATTGTATAGAATACTATGGTAATTTTTAATATATATTTTTGTTTACTCATTTGCATATTTATGGTAATTTATGCAAATAAGGTCATACAATTTACCTCTTTTTAGAAAAAATGACATTCCCATATGTTTTGTACACAAATCACGAAAATTAGCGATTTCCATGCTGACATGCAAAGACAAAATGGTCACGTGACTTTGTAACTGTACGTCCGATTTTCAAAAGAATTGTTTTAAAAGATGTGCAAGAATCGAAAGAAAAAAGTCAGCGCCGCGGCGGGGCGCCATCCGTATGCATTCCCGAACAATCAGAAAAATCGCGGGGGGAGGGGGGGGGGGGGACATAATGCCCCCCCGGCCTTATTAGGGTTAAACAAATTTATCATGAGTCCTGATAGAGTAATTCGCTACTGCATGTCATAGTGGTATAGACCAGTTCACGGTTAGCACATGTCCCAAATGACCCCGAATATCCACGGATCTTTAAAACATGAAAAAGTCCCACTTTGTACTTTTTGAAATAATCACTCCTACAGCGATGGAGTTGCTACATAAATAGCCTTTGTTTCCCCTTTTCAAAGATCACTTACACCTGTGTATTACGGAGTGCACTGCTTGTGCACAAATGAATAACCATTACATAACTTTCATAAGCACTATCCAGTATTTTGTCCCCGTGTATTTCACAATTTGGTCTGCAATGACCTGTATCTGCTCATGCTCAAACTGCAACCGTCCAGTTACGCACTTTTTCGTTTTAGAACTCTATTCAAACGTTACATTTTTAAAACAATGTCATCCTTGAATAAGTAGACCCTTTCTTATCTTTATCATTCTTACCTTGACCATGACGAGAGTAAAAAGGGCATTAATATTCTGTTTAAGTAAGTCTATATAAGTTAAAATCCCTCTGGTTCAAGTTTTATTTTAAAAGACTATCACACTTTTCAGACCACCACACACAACTGCAAAGAATGGTGGTTATGAAGCAGTCTTGGGCCACGTAAAGAGAAATTGTTGAAAGTCATCCCTGATAATAAAGTAGGGGTATATACTAATGTTTAACCATTCCTGTTTTTCCGCTTTGGGGTTACCCGTCGTCACTCCCCTCATCCCCGGAAAGTGCCCTTTTTGTTGGAAAAGGAAAAAAGAAAGAAAAAGTAAGCTTCGAAAGACGGGAGTGTAGACCCAACAAATTATTAAAGCGCATTCTACTAATTAAGTTGAACCCGACACTGTGTCTCAAATCATGTTTAACAAACGGAAAAACTATGATTATATATACGAGAGTTATCTTTAAGTGACGTAATTTTCTAAGCATAGCGTAAACAATTGAGAAAAAGGGATAAGTTCTGTGCTTTCCTCAGCATAACCAAATGTATACAATTAAATAAAAGGATCAGTGCTTTTTTCAGCACTACTTTTAATGTGAGGGAAGAAAGAATAATTACAGGGAAACCTATCAAGAAACGAGAAACGGTACGTAACAAAACATGATTAAAGAAAATGGAAAGTAAGAACAAAAATGGAAGAAGAAGACTAATGCAGCAATACAACAAATACAAATAAAATAAGGGATAGAAATACAAGTGGGAAAGAAAAGAAAAAAAGGGAGAGAGCTAATGGGGGGGGGGGGGCAGAGATATCAAGGAAGGATTAGCATAGGGATAGGGATTGACCGTTGGTATTATAACTGTTCTGCCCAATCTTTCTTTTCATTCACAGCAGAGATGACATTGGCACAACGGTAATTCGTCACGCGTTTCTTGTGGTTACCTCGATGTTGTCGAATTTCCCTTCGCTAAAGGTGATGTCCTTGATTGGTGTAATATGATCGTAATACACCTCTTTATCTTGCACTAAAGAAGGTCATTCTCGCTCATGTCGAATGTCTCGTGAATAAAGGAGCAGATATAAAAAAGCATCAGGATATCATGGTACACCGTTACAAGGAGCAACGCAAGGGGGACATATACAAGTTGTGAAATACGCCATGTCTATACATACTCAATACATGCTGTGCTGATGATAATGACTATACACTTCTCCATAATACTTCACAGACAGTCAAGCTTGATATTGTTCGGTGTCTCGTAAATACAAGGGAGAGGTAAACAAAGTATCACACGATGGTTCTGGACCACTAGGTAAATCATATAGCAGAGATGATCATGTCTAAGGAAGCAGATCTTGGACGTACTGATGTTGTCCATACTATCCTTCTAAATGCATCTTCCGAGGGTGATATTTATACTGTAAAGTACATCATACGTAAAGGCGCGAACCCGAATTCGGTTAATAACGATTGTTATACACCCCTGTACATTGCCTCACGAGAGGGTCATCTTGATGTTGTTGAATGTCTAGTGAATGCACGAGCAGATGTAAAGAAAACAACACATGGTTATACACCCCTGCATATTGCCTCACAAGAGGGTCATCTTAATGTTGTTGAATGTCTAGTGAATGCAGGAGCTGATGTGAAGAAAGCAGCAAAGAATGGCGGGACATCTCTCGATATAGCGTTAGAGAGAGGTCATGTAGACATTGTAAAATATCTAATTTCTAAAGGAGCGAACCCGAATTTGGTTGATAACGATGGTGATACACCCCTGCACATTGCCTCAATAAAGGGTAATCTTGATGTTGTTGAATGTCTAGTGAATGCAGGAGCTGATGTGACGAAAGCAGCAAAAATTGGCGTGACAGCTCTCCATATAGCGTCATATACAGGTTGTGTAGACATTGTAAAATATCTAATTTCTAAAGGAGCGAACCCGAATTTGGTTGATAACGATGGTAATACACCCCTGCACACTGCCTCAATAAAGGGTCATCTTGATGTTGTTGAATGTCTAGTGAACGCAGGAGCTGATGTGAAGAAAGCAGAGAAGAATGGCATGACATCTCTCAGTGCGGCGTCATATAAAGGTCATGTAGACATTGTAAAATATCTAATTTCTAAAGGAGCGAAGCCGAATTCGGTTCATAAAGATGGTATCACACCCCTGCACATTGCCTCACTACAGTGTAACCTTGATGTTGTTGAATGTCTAGTGAATGCAGGAGCTGATGTGAAGAAAGTAGAGAAGAATGGCGTGACATCTCTCCATATGGCGTCATATACAGGTAATGTAGACGTTGTAAAATATCTAATTTCTCAAGGCGCGAACGCGAATTCGGTTAATAACGATGGTCAAACACCCCTACACATTGCTTCATTACAGGGTCATATTCATGTTGTTGAGTGTCTAGTGAACGCGGGAGCTGATGTGAAGAAAGCAGGAAAGAAAGGCGTGACATCTCTCGATGCGGCGTCATGTACAGGTCATGTAGCCGTTGTAAAATATCTAATTTCTCAAGGAGCGAACCCGAAATCGGCTGATAATGATGGTCAAACGCCCCTACACACTGCTTCATTACAGGGTCATATTCATGTTGTTGAGTGTCTAGTGAACGCAGGAGCTGATGTGAAGAAAGTCGATATGAATGGCATGACATCTCTCGATGTGGCGTCATATACAGGTCATGTAGCCGTTGTAAAATATCTAATTTCTCAAGGAGCGAACCCGAATTCGATCAATAACGATGTTCATACGCCTCTACACATAGCTTCACAAGAGGGTTATCTTCATGTTGTTGAATGTCTAGTGAATGCAGGAGCTGATGTGAAGAAAGCAGGAAAGAATGGCGTGACATCTCTCCATTCGGCGTCATATACAGGTCATGTAGACATTATGAAATATCTACTTGATCAAGGAGCGAACCCGAATTCGGGTGATAGCCATGGTTATACACCCCTGCACACTGCTTCACAAAATGGCCATCTCGGTGTTGTTGAATGTCTAGTGAGTGCAGGAGGAGATGTAAACAAACCAGCAATTGATGGTGATTTACCACTTCATGCTGCCTCTCGCGGGGGCAACCTTGACATTCTAATATATCTCATTACGAAAGGAGCAGATATCGAGGCACGTAATAATTTCGGTTGGACAGTTTCTCACTTTGCAGCAGATAATGGTCATTTGGGATCTTTGGAATATTTCTTGAGAAACAACACTAGCGGTACACCGGGAAATGGTCACAGCGCTCTTGAAGTTGGATGTCAGGTATTGTGCTCATGCAATTCAAACTGCGTTTACTTAACGGACGGGTCGCCCAGCACGGTGCACTGGCCATTTTAACCACCAATTTGTTGTATGGTGTGTTCACGTGTGCTGGGTCAGAGGAAAACAAATACAAAAAATAGGTCCCTCTAGATGAATAACCCGATTTCTGGCTTTTAGATAACTCGAGTTATAATGAAAGAATGAAGTCTAAAAGTTGTGAAAAAGTTGAATATTCCCTAATTAAATTTTTCCAAAGTTAAAATTTAGTCCATGATTAACTGTTCTCATGGACTCAGTACGTTCAAATAGGCATGTTATTGAGACATAACTGTAGCTGCGGGCAACTGCGGAATTAATGCCCTGGATATAATTGTTCTTGGGGGTGATTCCGAGAGGATAATTGTCCAGGGGATAGTTGTCAGGAAATGCCTGCAGTTTTAGAAGCCTGCGGTCGATTTTCTAAATGTGAAGTCAAAAGATCGGGAAGAGTGGAAATAAGAATAATAAAAAAATCATGTAGGAAAAAATTGGTGTTGGTGTTACAGGTCCAGCATTTATGAGAAGATATGGAGAACATGAAAACAATGAATAAGTTTCTTAAATTGGGTTGGAGAAGTTTAATAAATGATTTGTTAACTTTTCACAACTTTTAAACTTCAATATTTCATCGTTATGATTTAAATATTAACTGTAGTATCTGAACGCCCGAAATCGAGGAAATAATTCAGAGAGGGACGCGTTTTTACCTTTTGCATGGGTGGCTAATTTTGGCTAGTTCGTCGAGCCGCGCCGCGACTCGACCGTTTAGTTAAAGCCATTCAAATCAATATGTACACATAAAATTGAATGGCATGCAAGCAAACGCAGTGGTTAAATACGTGTTGTAGCTTTCAGAATGCATCCCCATAAGAAATATGTCCAATGTGTGAAAATCTTATGTGTTCTTCTTAGCAGGGATGGACTCCACGTTGAATTTCGTTTAACCTACAAACTTATTCCTTTAAATATGGTCCAGTTCCTCTGCCTCTGGACGAAGGTAAAAGACAAAAATGAGAAAACGCCAAACCTAAGTGGACATTGTACTTGTTCTAATTGTGCTCATTTAGCACATAATTTGGGATTCGGACTGGCTAATAGGATCTCACAAGTGAGGTATTACTTTAATAAATTCTTATTAAAATATTTACATATTAATTGTCGAATATATGTATTTGAAAATGTCAAATATTATATTCTACCAACACAATGATCATAAGCAATCCATATTGTCCCTGAGTTACTAAGTATCCATTGTCCCTTATGTAGAGCAAAATGTATTCATCGACGAAATTGGAGTAGGACTACATGTATCTTAATATGGTGGCCGACTTAAAACTGTTGGTAGTGTACCGATATTATTAATCTTACAGACCTTAAAAGGAGTCACCCCACTTATGGCTGCCGCAAGGGGAGGAAGTCTGGACTGTGTACGTCTGCTGCTCGAAAACAATGCAGACATTGAGACAGAAGATGCGGAGGGATGGACAGCCATCCATTATGCTGCAACAAGGTGAACTGTTCATACACATTTTTCATACTTTAACAGCGTGTCCACACACAAAACAATTTATTCCGAAACTCTATATAGTCAGGTCAATATACGGTAAAAAAACACCCCAACCCCCAAAAAATTGCAACAAAAGGTTTTTCAACGGTTTTTAGTAGTATTCGACCTCAGGAATAACATACTAAAAGTCGACCAAAATTGAATGTTCATAAAGCTGTTATTTTCAAGATGGCGTCCAAGATGGCCGCCGATACCTAGAAATGGCCATAAATCACTTATTATCCATCCTAGAGACATAATGTTGGTGTCTATCCCATGGTTTCGGGGGTCAGAGAATCCATTGAGACAAGTAAGAATGGTTTGTGATGGTCTAGGAAACCCCCAAATCCAAGATGGCGTCCAAAATGGCCGCCATAACATAAAAATGGCCATAAGTGACTTGTTATCTATCCGAAAGACATAATAAGGGTGTCTATGCTATGGTTTTCGGGGTCATAGAATCCATTAGGATAAGTTAGAACGTTAAGCAGTGGTTCAGGAAACCACAAAATCCAATATGGCGTCCAAAGGGCCACAAAACCACTAAGATTTCTCAATAGAGGGCGCCCTTAATAAAGAGGAAATGAACTTATAATGTTTCTCTCTCACCCTTATGGTGTCACCGACCCCCCAGAAAAGGGGTCAATTCAACTATTGACAGGTCATTGTCAACACTGAGGGAGTGGCCATGGCCGAGGGGGGGGGGGGGGGTGGGGGGGGGGGGGGGAGGGGAGTGACAAAGACAAAGTTACAACATAATAATAATATCTAGACACACATTCATAATACCTACCATACAATTAAAAATGTTTAAAACCTCGTGTTGTTCATGTCATCTTATAGCGAATACACATGCAGATCTAGCTGCATGTTCCTTCATTTTGATGAGGAATGTACTTTAGTAAGGAAAAATCATCTTCTGCTTCACTATCAGGTGACTCGTTATATGGATTGTTGTGGCATACATCAAGTTGGCAAGGTCCACAAACACACTGTTACATGGTAGTCCGTAACATATGCAGGTATAGCGAGGTGGCTACAAGCAGTACAGAAGTCGCAATGAATCAACTTAGGAAGATTACTATAGGTGCAGCCTCCGTATTTGACATTAGTGGAGCCAGATGATTGTCCTCTAATTTCCAGCCCCAGTCTGTGACGTCCATGTCCTCCCACTCTTCATCCATGCCATGACTTGGTAGCCCGAGAAAGGGGGGGGGGGGGGGGGTACTCACATATTAAGACATACATACGTGTGCCGCTCTAATGAATCCCTAAACATGGGTCCCATTTTTATCAAAAATATCCCTAAACATGGGTCCGTGTTTACACAATTTTCGGGTGTTTGCATTGTGAAAATTGTGAAAAGTGGGCTTAACTTCGAGAAAAGTGACCCCTATAAATAGGTAGGGGTTTATAATCTAATTCCCCCCCCCCCCCAATCCGGGCTTGGTAGTATGTTTTGAGGGAGTGCATTTGGTGGAGGCTGACGTAGGAGGGAGTTGCATTGGCAATTTTCTTGACGAACAAGTTGTATCGTAATGATGCAACTGAGTCATTACAGCGGCCACCAAACATGACAGACATTGCTTTGATACCAAGTTCCTCTAAGTAGTTACTTTGGCTGACTTGATAGAAGGAGAGTACTAGCACAGGATTCCAATTGAGGTTGCATTTCACAAGCTTCTGGAAGACTGCTTTCTTTCCTTTAAGAATATCCGGGAAGTTGAATCGCAATCGGTGTAGGCATCCAGAAAAAGTAGTTGTGAGCACAGATCCCGTACCCAGGTCCAATTTCAACTGCTAACAGTTCTACACCTTCGGAGCCTTGGCTGTCGATTGTAAGAGTGGAATTATAGTTCCTGCTATCTGTTCTAAGGATTATGCGAAGTCCAGTTCCTTTCATCAGGGTACCGATTGATTCCAGCAAAATCATGAAGGTCTGGAAGCAACCTAATTGCAAGTCAATCCCTTTCAGTGGGCTATTCAGTTCAGCAGCCTTCCAATATGCTGTTTTAATAATCTCGTTCAAAAGGAAAGCCAAAGCTACGACTCTGGGAGAGATTTTGAAAGTACAAATTGTACCTGCAAACCATAATTGCCGCTTTGCTTTGCTGTTTCAACAGTTCCTGGTAGTTAAAAGAAGGGGGAACTTGAGGTAGCAGAGGTGATGAGCTTTGAGCTCGGTCCGTTCCTACCTGCACTTTTCGAGGCTAGGAATGTCATTCGGAAGGCTAAGAAGCCTCAGCTAGCTCATGTTACAACCGATCATGCAAGTAAAGTGTCGGGTGAAGCCGTGAAAGAAAACAGACCAGTATGTCCTTGATGGTGGTTTCTTGGTGCATCGGATATCATGGAAGACAGGAGACAGCTTTGGCAGAATAGCACGATCATATCCTGATTTCACACCTTCCCCCCCCCCACTATATGGTTCTGCAAATGTAGTTTTTACGGCTATGGTGGAGGGCCGTCAATTAATGATCAAACACACCAGCGGCGTAGGCAGAATGCCCATCCAGTTGTCAGATTCAATGTAGACACAGTATTCTCAGGCAAGAAGGATGAGTTTTTATCAAAAGACTGCAATAAGCAGGGACTCATGAATCTCATTAGTGAGGAACTGAGGAAGGATAATTGCACCGTCAGCAATGTATCCGGGGATGCAGATGTCTTATTCTTCAGTCAGGTGGCGCTATAGCTGCGCTGCTGTGGCCATCACAAGTTTACGCCATCCTTCTCTGTCAGCTGTTGCTCTTGTTGCCTCTGACAGCCTTTTCCCTGCAGATGCAGATGTACATATTGCTAAAGCTGCAGTGAATTCTTTTCGTCGTCAGTCTACTACTCTGATTTGAGAAGGCACTGACCTATTGGTGTTACGCTTGCATTACGCGGATGAAGATAGCAGAGAACTATACTTCCACTCTTACAATGGAGCAATGCAAGGCTCCGAAGGTGTATAACATTAATCAGTTCGTTGAAAGTGGACCTGGGTAAAGATCTATGCTCAAAACTACTTTTTCGACATGCCTACACTGGTTGCGATTCGACTTCCAGGATATTCGGAATCGGAAAGAGAGCAGTCTTCAGGAAGCTTGTGAAATACAGCCCCACATAAGAATCCAGTGCTAGTACATTCCTTCTTCCAATTAAGTCAGCCACGGGAACTAATTGAGGAACTTGGTATCAAAGCAATGTCTTTCATGTTTGGTTGCTGCTGTAGCTGAAATGACTCAGTTGCATCATTACGATACAACTTGCTTGTCAAGAAAATTGCCAATGCGACTCCCTCCTACGCCAGCCTCCGCCAAATTCCACTCCCTCATAACATACTACCAAGTCATGGCGTGGATGGAGAGTGAATTATAAGACATGGACGTCACATACTGGGGCTGGAAATTAGAGGACAATAATGTTGAATACGGAGGCTGTACCTAGTAATCTTCTTGATAAGTTGATTCATTGCAACTCCTGTACTGCTTGTGGCACACCTTGCTGTACCCGCATATGTTACGGACTACCATGTAACAGTGTGTGTGTAGACCTTGCCAACTTGATGAATGCCGCAATCTATATAACGAGTCACTTGATAGTGAAGCAGAAGATGATTTTTCCTTACTAAAGTACATTCCTCATCAAAATGAAGGAACATGAAGATCTGCATGTGTATGCGCTATAAGATGACATGAACAACACGAGGTTTTAAATATTTTTAATTGTATGGTAGGTATTATAAATGTGTGTCTAGATATTATTATTAAGTTGTTACTTTGTCTTTGTCACTCCCCCCTCCCTCGGTCACTCTCTCAGTGTTGACAATGACCTGTCAAAAATTGAATTGACCCTCTTGCTGGGGGGGGGGGGGGGTTGGGGTCGATGACACCATAAGGGTGAGAGAAACATTATAAGTTCATTTCCTGTTTATAAAGTGCGCCCTCTATTGAGAAATATTAGTGGTTTTGTGGCCCTTTGGACGCCATATTGGATTTCGTGGTTCCCTGAACCACTGCTTAACGTTCTAACTTATCCTAATGGATTCTATGACCCCGAAAACCATAGCATAGACACCCCAATTATGTCTCTCGGATGGATAATAAGTGACTTATGGCCATTTTTATGTTATGGCGGCCATTTTGGACGCCATCTTTGATTTGGGGGTTTCCTAGACCATTACAAACTATTCTTACTTGTCTCAATGGATTCTCTGACCCCCAAAACCATGGGATAGACACTAAAATTATGTCTCTAGGATGGATAATAAGTGATTTATGGCCATTTCTAGGTATCGGCGGCCATCTTGGACGCCATCTTGAAAATAACAGCTTTCTGAACCTTCGATTTTGGTCGACGTTTAGTATGTTATTCCTGAGGTCGAATACTACTAGAAACCGTTGAAAAACCTTTTGTTGCAATTTTTTGGGGTCAAACCATATCTTGACCTGACTAATAACGAAACGTCGTATAAAGAATCATCGCATAAATTCCAGGGCGTCCACACACAAGAAACGTCGTATAAAGAATCATCGTATAGATTCCAGGATGTCCTGAAACTCTAAAGCGAAATATCTTATTATAGGTGCGCAGTTTGCTACTGCGATCATGAAATGGAAGCGGAAATGAGAGGTCAGGTCTCCTTTCGCTCGAGGTCACGTTAAGCCCCGTCCAGTTATACCGTTCTAGTTCGACTAGTTATACTACTTACGTTCACACACAACACATTCCGTGATTAGGCGTGATTCTTTATACGTCGTATAACGAAACGCATGTTTGGGCATCGTTTCGTTATACGTCGTTTCGTTATACGACGTATCGTTAGTAAGCGTCCACACACACAATTTCATCGTATAACTATTACATGTCGCCTTTTATTTGAAAAAGGGTATGTAGTTTGATTTTGGGGAAAACATGATGCGAAACAGAATTCACTTTGTTATCTTAGAATCATGCTATTAATAAAGGCAAAACCATCATGAA